AGGCGACATTGAATCGGTTTCGCGAAAACTACCAAAAGCTCTCAGAGGGAGTCAAAAACAGACTGGTTTTGGAAAACGACGACGTATCATGGAGCGTGCATGACCTACTACCCATTTGCGAGGAATTGAACATTCCACTTGTACTTGACTTTCACCATCACAACATCATCTTCGACCCTAGCATCAGAGAAGGAACACTAGACATTATCAGCCTCTATGACCGAATCAAGGCAACGTGGACCAGGAAAAATATTACGCAGAAGATGCACTACAGCGAGCCGGTCGCGTCAGCTGTTACACCTCGCGATCGCCGCAAGCACTCGGCCCGGGTGAAGACGTTGCCGCCTTGTGCAACAGATATGGATCTCATGATTGAGGCAAAGGACAAGGAGCAAGCCGTGTTTGAACTCATGCGCACTTTCAAACTCCCGGGTTGGAATTTGTTCAACGATATCATTCCACACGAGCGCATGGATGAGCCAAGAAGAGAAGTCCTCAAGAAGGCAAAGAGAAATGCGGGTGGAAAGTCGCAAGTGAATGGTACAACGGAGACTATAAGTGAAGCTCCAGAGCATATCTTGAGCGCCGACGATGTGAATATGGGCGGACCAGAGAGGAGAGTATATTGGCCGGAAGGTATGGAGGAATGGTTGAAGCCAAGAAAACGAGAGGTCAGAACGGGAACAAAGAATGGTCGTGATAAGTAGGACTTTCCTCGTGTTCCACACTAGATGATGTCGTTTTATGGGAGCGGCCAACACCGCCAGGGTACAGAATACGCAATGGTGCCCGTGGGGAAAATATGTATCTTTTGTTCCATCACTCATTAAATTTAATGTAGTATTTTTTTTTAAAGTGGGGCATAAACTGCGAGGGCAACAAAGTCGCGAAGTCCTAGGCGACGAGCAGAGAGATAGCCTACCCTAGACCGGATCGGGAGGAGGTTCGAAGGTAAATAGGGGTCTTGGTGTTGCTGCACGGTTGAACTCGATTGGAGATGATGTTCGCATGACATGGGTTGATGAAATGTCGTGAATGCCGGTCTGGTGCCATGGCTTGCACGGCTGGCCATTGGTGAGGCCCCCACAGGGAATAAAATCTGGCCAGGCAGGAGCAGCACGCCAAAACTGTCAATAGGTTGGGTGGCCTGTCTACAACCCTAATTTCTCAATCTTTCTGCTCCGACCTGGCAAAGTACAGAACAGTAAAAAGACACTGTGGTGGTGATGAGCACGAAATGACAGCTGGGGACTTCACAGCCAGGACCGCTGCCTTTTTGCAGTGGTTCAAAGCTCTCCCTGGTGCTACATTTTCCGACGCCATCGAGATCGTTGACCTCAGATCCCGTGACGCAGGTCGTGGAATAAGTCAGTCATTGGCGAAGACGTGTCATGTTTGACAAGCGCGCGGGCTGACATGGGAGATCACAGCTGCTCTTCGCGATATTCCTGCTGATACGACCCTGTTCACGATACCCCGGGATGCAATCATTAATTCTGAAACATCATCCTTGAGAAAGAAGCTGCCGGATTTGTTTGAGAGTCAAGGAGATGAAGATGAAGAGCAGGCCCTGGACTCCTGGAGCGCCTTGATTCTGATCATGATGTATGAGTTCTTCTTGGGCGATGAGTCCAAGTGGAAGCCTTATATCGATGTCTTACCGCTAACATTTGACACCCCCATGTTTTGGTCTGAAGAGGAACTGTCGTACCTCCAAGCCAGCGCTACTGTGAACAAGATTGGCAAAGCCGACGCAGAAGAAATGTTTCGCACGCGGCTCATCCCTGCCATCCGTGGTAATCCGTCGGTTTTTGTCTCCAGCGGTGACTGCAGTGATGAGGATTTGATTGGGCTAGCACATCGGATGGGCAGCACCATCATGGCCTATGCTTTTGATTTGGAGAATGAAGAGGCGGAGAACGATGAGGAGTCGGATGGCTGGGTTGAGGACCGAGAAGGAAAGTCTATGATGGGCATGGTTGCAATGGCGGACATCCTAAACGCGGACGCCGAGTTCAACGTATGATGGAAAAGAATTGTTCTTGATGACGAGAATATTGCTGACCACGTGTAGGCGCATGTCAACCACGGAGACGAGGAGCTGACCGTCACCTCGATTCGTGATATCAAAGCGGGGGAAGAAATCCTCAACTATTACGGGCCACACCCCAATTCCGAGCTGCTTCGTAGGTACGGTTACATTACAGAAAAGCATTCACGATATGATGTGGTAGAAATCCCTTGGGACGCAGTACAACACTCCCTCATGTCTGAACTTGGTGTGCCACAAGATATTATGGCCGAGACGGTAAGCGGCCTAGCTCAAGCTCACTGGCTTGAATACTGCAGCTGACGAGTGTTGCAGATGGAGAGAATGGATCAAGACGACCTGGAAGACATATTCGTGTTGGAACGAGACTCTGGTGAGCCAAATCCGGATGGAACCTTCGCGGGCCCTGCCGTGGTAGATGGGATGCCCCCAGACCTGAAGGAGCAGCTCAAGGCAACAATCAAGCTGCTGCAGAAGCTGGACGGAAATCTGATCTCAGACAAAAGAAAAAGAGATGACATCTTACGTTCTACAATGGTTGAGACGCTGCGGCTCATTGCATCGCGGTACTCGACAACTATTGCCGAGGATGAAGTCTTGTTAGCACAAGATAGTCTCACTCGCCGTCAAAGAATGGCAGTCCAGGTCAGGCTTGGAGAGAAGAAGCTTCTACAGGAAGCATGTGATCATTTCTCGGAAATGGTTGCTCAAGAGGCGGCTGACACGGCGTCTGCGACAACGAAAAAGGCAAAGCGATCTAAATAAAGTATCTGTCGACATACGGCGACCACGTAGCTGGGCAAATAGAACGACAGTGATACTACCAAAGAAGAACAAAAAAAGCTCCACCCGTGTGACTATAGTGTTCCAAAGGAAGCGATACAGGCGGCCAAAAGCACTTCTTTTGCGGTTCGAAGACTTCCACAACCTGAACTACAAGGCTTTAACTTTTGCTTTTCTAAAGCGAGGCACGACCCAGACGGGCCAGAAGATAAAGTCAGGCCGCATTATTCGCGACCCGACTGATATATCGAGGCCGCTGTAAATGAGTTCAGTCATCGGGACAGCCATCACGACATTGGTGGATAGGGACAAGTGATTTCTTATGCCGCCTCTACAATGTGTCTCAAATTCTACAGAAGTGGCTGGATCAGGAATCTCAAATTCTCATCTGACAGGAGATCTTAGATCTCGATGATCCCCTCGGTTATTGGAACCCAGCTCGATGTTTCTCACCGGCCTGTTGTTCAACGACGCGAATGGCTGCGAGTCCCCAAAATTCATGGACAGGCCGGCTCCATCAAAGGAGCGTGTGCGCTGTGACAAGTGATGCGCAAATAATATATTACGAGTATTGTAATAAATTATCCGAAATGTCGTTAGGTCTATCTCTGAATCATTCCCGACGACGGAACCGATCTGATTCGGAACCAGCCGTGACGTTGGAGCCGCCATGTCATGTTCCAGCGCATTTTTGGTGCAACAGTGGCCATGCTGAGCTAATTGCTATTCTGTCCGAGCTCTAGCAATGGCGGTCTAAGCCGGGAATGCGTGGGTTTGCCTCGCCCGCCCATCTTCGGCATTGAAGAACTCTGGCCTCCGTTATCAATCAACGGCCGATGAGGTTATGCTCGTTTTGTTATATCCCAGCCCTCCGCGGTGCAATTACTTGCAGCCATACAACTGCCGTGTTTGACCCTTGAGGGTTCAATGTGGAATGAGGCTGAGATACAGGAGAATAAGGCTTCGTTGGGCTGTTCTTGTTGTCCAAGGCAACTAACTAACTGAGCTGCTATCCACAGTTGCGAGTTGCAATGTGGCCGCATGTCGTCAAGGCAAATGCCCTTGTTTTCAAAGACGTGTCTCAGAATCATCTGCAAGCACGTTTTTCTCTCTGGTTCTTTTTTTTGTTGAAACGAACGACTTTTTACTACATCAGCACAACTGGGTCAACATGAGGTTGTTTCAGTCAGCCTTAATGCAGCATTGGTGGATAATTTCTGGAAGAATAATTTACGCGGCCGGAGGCGTTGGCCAAGACCGATTTTCCTCGCAACACAAGTTTGGCGACAGCCACAAGCGATGGAAGCACATCGCCAACTCCGAAGACCTCCGCTCAAATTGATTGGTTGTCGCCGAGCTTGCGACTACATCCTGTCGTTGGCGTGACAAGCCCGAGATGTTAGCCCTAGGAATATGCTCATAGCAGCTTCACCGCAAGACATTCGAAGACACGCTAGCCATTTTTCAGTTGCATAAGCTTCGGTACCTACGGAATGGCCCTCTGTTTTGCCATGATGCCCGAGTTATGATCTTGGCTAAGGGAAACGATCTGGACACATCCACGTGGCACACCCTCCTCGTTCTGACAGTTATTCGGAGTTAGGGCGATTTACGCATATGAAGCTGCCAGGGTCGAGCTGGCACATCAGTAACTACCGAACATCCCCAAGTACACTACATGATTGGCTTGTATCAACTTGATCGCCATCGGAGATAACTTGGTCACTCACGGGATGAGAGGATAATGTCGTCCCTGCGCCCCCCGCTCCGTGATTCCAGCCTCGGCTTCGGTAATGACCTGTTCGCCTTGCTGGTAGTGAAGATGGTGTTGCGTGTTACCGGATGCAAGAGGCATCCCAAACTTTCATTCGTACCCTCGAGGACTATTCCTGGATGGAACATGAGAGGCACACAACATGAGAAGCCTGAACTCACCGATCCTTACGGATGTATTGTCTCGGGCAGTTAAACCATCAGTGCGAGAAGATACCGAGAAGATGCGTTACCAAGTAGGTCACAAAGGCCAGAAATTCGAGATCAGTTTCTCTATAAAAGGGGTCTGAATGATCGCAATGACAAGCAACTGAGTCCCGGTTCAAACAAGAGCAACCCATCATTCTATTCACCACTCTTTGAGAATACTATACACACTATTCTGCAGACCACCATGTCTAACACGCATCATGATCGTGATCGCGTAAGTGTCCTGAGCAACGTGAGATGGCATCTTGGCACAAGACACGCTTTCAACTAACAGGCACAATAGTCTAGCAAGCACAAGCATCACAAGAGCAGCAAATCTGGCCGGTCCAAGACTACTGAGAGCAGTAACAGCGGGTGTTCGTGGCCCGTAAACGGAGACGTGAGCTTCCTCTTCGTCGTGAATGAGCTGGAGATCAGGTTCCGTGACGAACAAGGCCTTGACAGTGGTATACGGAAGGATGACTGGCTCAATGTGTTGCCCCCCAACACCCCGGAACTCTACTTGCCGGAGACACTCCAACATGTCAGTCAGGTTATGAGATTTCGGAACGGGGAAATTACACCTGCTGGCCCTGCTTACTATTGGGCACGCGCTGGGCAGTTTGACGAAGGATACATCGCCATGGCGGCGGGAGAGACCCAATACGCCCTTCAAAAGTACAAGTCTGGGTCGGTCTTCTCCTGCAACCCATCGCTGCCGATTGTGACCCTTGAAGGCGATGCGAGGACCAACACGGACCCCGACTTCAACGTCTTGCAGTTCCTTCATCAACGCAATGCTGACTCGGACAGCAATGGCGTCTCCCTGGCTGCATTCTCGATGGACCGTTCGTCATCTGTTTACCCACCGCCGGTCAAGTTTGTGGCAGGGGGGCCCCCCAGCTGGGTCCCGCCCCC